ATTAAGTATGACTTGCTTAGTCCGTTTTTGTTTTCATGTTTGTTAAGCACATAGAGGTCCCAACAGCAGGCGACCACAATGAATAGGCATGCACAAGAATACATATACCAGAATTATAGTACATAATACAAAATCATTTTTAAATTCCGTATAGCATCATGTGATTTGTATTCACCAGTCCATAGTACTAGTAGTGATGGCCTTACTGTTTGTGTTTACAAAAAATAGGATTAGACTTTTATATTTTGTTCAAATTTTTTTGTTAACTGCATAAATCAGAACAGGATCCAACACTTTTACGGTTATGAATCTGTTGAAATAGCGCGGTATAGATGCTTAGATTACAGATAAAACAGTAGCAGAATATCATAGAGGTATTTGTCTCCATCTATTGTATTTCTTCCCCTAACATATTCAATATACAGTAGGCTTATTGTACTTGTGCTGTACGTTTTAACATTTATTATTTGAATGAATTGTTTGCAGTAGTGTTTATCAGTAACTGCTTCACCAGAGGAGCAAAATTGACGGCAGCCTTTTTTCCAATTATGCCACTGCACATTATCGTATCTATTACTGCATATGTTTTGCATTATTATAATAATGCATTTTTGTAGGAAAGACTTAAATTATAGTATTGTAATGCATGAAAATTCCTAATTAAAAGTTTCAGTTGGAAACCAAAATAGAACATGAAGAAACATGACTTCCTAAATGGTTTACAATTTCAACAATTATAGAAACTCCATTTAACAGATTTGACATTATAGCCGTCTGCGAACCAAAACATTGGCGACCATAAACCACCAATTGCTTTGAATGGAAAGGTCACTAGAAATTAATTTGTTTAAAATATGAGTAAACGGATATTACGTCCCAATATACAAAATCCCAATGATTTATACAGTAATTTACAACCAGTAATTTAGCTGAATGTAAATTACACTTAAGAACAGACCATGATGATACATATGACTCAGGGTTGCTGAAAAGATGGGGCTAGGGAGGGTTGCTCCTTACATAGCAGACATCTTGTTTGCCACTATACTATGCATGTGTATTTTTTGGGGGTAGGAAGGGGAACAAGGTATAGTACTAGGGAAAGACCTTGAACTACGACCGAGGGCCCTACAAAAGCATCATCTAGAATTGTCGTCTGTCTTGTTATCCTTGGCCAAGGCATTTTAATATCTTTTAATACCCGGAGTATCAATAAGTTGCATGAAATTTTTTGTCTTAATTTGAACATGTACTACGAGATTTCAGACTCAAAAATCAATGCTTGAGGAAATTTTGATAAAGTAGAGTATTGCCCAATTTCTATATCAAACAAACTAACATTCTCAGCTAAAATATTGTCTAGTTTAACAAACCAAAATCACATTATGTAACCAATCATTCACCCCATGTGTGATTTTTATTTTTGAGAGAGAAATTGTAAACAATCATAAAATATACACCAGTTTGTCTGTATTTGGCAAATCCATTTGAGATGAAATATAAATTAGGTCTCTTGATTGACGTCATGTAACTTTTCATTTTTAATCATGTATTTTGTTACTGAACTCCATCTGTTCTACTCCGTGATCTATTTATAGCTTGGCTGCATGATGTACTTAAATTTCTATAACTTCACTCTTAAATCCTTACGTCATGAATACACATAATCTCTTTATCTGAGTGGTTTAATAAGTTCAAGTAACAGTCGTCAATAGATGATGTTAAAAGTAGGTAGGTTATTAGGCAAGATTAGGAAGTGTCCTCCTCTCCTAACATAGAAAAATATAGTGTTACCATAAAAGGGTATAACCAGTGATATGTTGTAAAGAGAAATTAATCACTGCAGTATGTGAAGTATAAACTTCAATTGATGTTTAACTCTATTAATGTCTTGATATATATGGCACTCCTTTACTGTCATATAATATATTAGTAGTTCTTTTCACTAGATCTGGATGAAAATAAACTCTCCCTAGCAGGAATTTGCCTGCTAATACGTGGCAGTCGCGCAAGTTTATTTTGTCTGCCGGTACTTCAAGTGACAATTCTATGTCATCAGCTAATGATTATAGAGGTAGTCGCATAAGCTTATGGTTTTTTGTTAATTTTGCAACTGGCAGTCACAAATTGTCAGTGTGGGGTAAGGGTTGCTATTAGTTAAAGTGGCAGTCATACAAGCTTACATGGCTTTTACTTAGAGTGGCAGTCGCAAAAGTTTAAGTTGTTTCCTTATGATTAAAGTGGCAGTGGCACAAATGCATTAAATACCAAAAACTAAAAGATGTTTTCAATTGTACATCAGTTGCTTATTACTACAAGAAGAATGAATAATATTTCTGTAATTGGAAAATACATTTTATTCAATATGTTTTCGTTTTTATATTTAATTTATTCATGACATGTAATTGTTATTGTAACGTAAATGTTGTTATTGATTTTAAATGACTGTGCAATAGTAATTTTAACATATATTTTTTCTTTTGTTCTAATGTATTATGATACAGTAATATTATCATAATGTGATTCAGCATTTTGATGACAATGTTGTTGAATAAATTACCAATATTACATCTAACTAATTACATATTTGGAATTTACATTATAGTGTCTCTCACTGCTATATATAACATCCAAATCCATTGGGATATTTGGTATTGTAACAATTTGCATTACAGTGTATTATTATTACTATTGTCATAATCATTATTACCATAGTATACTGTATATACCATGCTTTAAATAAACTTATCAGAAATTTGCAAACTTGTGACTGACAGTCGGCGATTAACATTAAAGTGCAAAGATGCTGACGAACAACAAAAGAAACTTCATAGTAGGGTAGTAGATATTTATATTGTCATTAGACCTATCATTCTAATAATAACAATAATAATAATAATAATAATAATAATAATAATAATAGCAATAATGTTAGATTTTTCAATAATTGTTATTATCATTAAACCTATTATTCTTATATGGTTATTTGTTGTATATCGTTGTTGTTATTGCCATTGTTAACACGTTATCAGTATTTCTAACATACTGTATAATAATGATAAAAACTCTACTCCTATTTAGCGTATTCGGTAAAAAGCCTCCATACATTTTACAAAAAAAAATATATCATTATCTTATTACTATGAACTTATAGTAACATGATCCCTTGTAAGAAATGTATAAAATTTATTATTTATATACAGGATCTACTTGCCACTTGACAAGTTAATGTACTTGGAGTAGAAAAAAAGGCATAACACATGCGGTCTGTAGCATTTAACTGATTAACATAGCAACAGTAACTAATAAACGAACAAGTATCTTTCATTATTAGGGAATTTCAATCATAAAACCTATTTTTCTAATTACACTTCTATATATAGATATTGGTTACACTCTAGCAATCAAAGGGTTCTGGGAATACAAGATATTGTTGAAAATTTACTTAGTACTAAACATAAAAGATTAAAAATGTGCATGTAATATTCTCAACTTTTTCGGTCTTTTTTTTTTTATTCGGAATTTCAAAGCAAAAAAGAAAATGGTCATAAAATAGGATCTTCAGATACAGGAAAATAAGGTTTTATGGTGTTTTACAGTTGTTTTGTAAAATGTTAGACATGCTTAGGGCTAGATCACATACTGTACATGTAAATATGATGGTGGAGATGGTAAGAATTTTGAGCTTCTCTTCTGATTGCTTGTGGAACATGTTGGTGGCCCCTGGTCCCCAGTGGTGTTTGCTAATTGCTTAAATCTCACAAGGTATAAAAATAGAAAATTACTATCACAACCTGATTCTGATCACGCCCATCCCTTGCCCTACCCCCACCCATTGCTCTCAGTGTTGGCAACTATGCTTTCTTAAATGAACCATTTTACAATCAACCTTCAAAATAAACAGACATAAAATTGCTCTTTAATTCTGCAAATGTATACACCGAGACAAAATGTGGATTACAATGAGGAATCTTAAGCTCAACAGTTAAGAGTGCTTCTCTCTAACTGATTAGTTCTAAAAATAGCCACACTTCTGCCTCACTTGAAAAAAAATTGATGAAAGAGGCCTTGATACCTGAAATGAATGCATTCAGCAATGTAAATTGATCATGCAAGAATCACCAGCTAAGATATTTCAGCAATCACCTTTTAAGTTTTCTTTCATTCAATCTTGGTTTTGTAACCTCATGAAATATGTGTTAATGAAATTACAACAGAGCGCCTGAGTACAGGAGATAAAGTCGCCTGAGTTTGACATGAGTCTTGGGGAAAAAAAAGACATGTTAATGTATATTCAGCCATTTGCTTAATGTACTATAAGTTGGATTAAGTGACATTGAACATTAAGTATGCTATAATGATTAATTCCCATGGATCTAATTGATAACTATCATTATTAGCTGCTTTGCAGGTGAACACAAGTTGAAGCTTGTATTATAATTATTTCATTTCAAGGGTCTTATTCTGTGTTTATTTTCTTGGCTGCCAATTGGCAACCAATATCTTTTAGAGGCAGTGACTCTAGCCATATCATGTACAGTATCTGATTTAATTTGGTTGGTTTGTTGTTGATGTATAACAAATCCATATATATAATGTCCTAATTTTAAAAAATAAGATAATAAATTATCCAATTATAGAATTGGAAATACTCATTCATATGCTATATGTTATATTAAAACAATAGAGGAACTGTGAGAATGAAAACACAGTGAAAATTGAATATGATTTGACCCTCGATTCTTAAATATTTTGGGTTGTCATATTTTGGCAACACAAACTTTTTCACCTTATTGCTTTACATTATTTGGTGAACATTTTTGTTTTTGGCATCTCAAACATTTGTCACTATATAAAATAAAGCATTTATATAATATACAGGTAAGTTTTATTTATTTAAGCTCTCTTTATCCAGGGAATATCCATTCAGTGACAGCACTGCTTTTCAAGGAAGCCCTGGTGCATACAGTGACTATATCCAAAAAACAAAAAAGAAAAAATAATTTTTACAATCATGAAATTCAAAAGTAACTAAAAGTAAATCAAAAACAACAAGATAGCCTAAAACTGAAAAGAAAGCAGACAAATGAAAACTACCAAACCAAAATAAAAAAGGTACAGTCTTACTAAATACAGATAAAGGCCTCTTTTTTACACATATTAATAGAAAGAGCATCAAAATTGTTACGATAACAGAGCAGCTCCAAAGATGAGCTGCTCTGTTATGAAAAGTACGCTCACCACAGTTTGAATTTGCATGTGGAACAACTAGAGTATTTGATATTTGATTCCCAGTAGGGTAAGAATGAACAGAGATGGTGAAGGTGAATTTGGAAGACAGATATTCAGGGACATTACCATTTAAACATTTAAACACAGTAAGTAAAGTCTGGTTTGTCCATCGATCATTCAATTTAGGCCAATGAAGAGTAATCATCATATCATCCACTGAAGTTCTAATATTGGCTGATAATAAAATTCATTTAAATATTGATCATTATTGCACTTTGAAAACAAATTTCATATCAAATATTGTGTCTTTAATAGTGATATGGTATCATAATGACGATATATCTGGAGTGTAATAAAGTCAGCTTTGCATCATTACTGTACAAAAGCTCAACGTAGGTGTCCAAGCTTTCTTAATTATTTTCATATTACAATGCATTATTGAACGCACGGCAGTATTTGATCTGGTAATTTACACCAAATGTCTAAAAATAGAACTCAAATACTTAATGTTAGGCATTTGGATATCGACATGTTATGAGATCAAATAATAACAAAAAAAACAAAAACAAACATAAGTTCACTTGCCGTAGGGACAGTATCACCCTAGATACGCCATTGTTACGTCAGCTGGCTATGGGTTTCACCACCCACAGCAAAAATACTATATAAGGTGTTAAGAAAGCATGTTGTTCAACCAAATACAGTATCTCTGGCTTCATTCAAACCCTGATATACTATTTACATAACTCAAAACATGACAAGTTGTTCACACAATCCCTGTGCTTGAAAAAGTGTACTCATTTTTTTTTTTTTTTGCATTGGCGGATTCAAGGGGTGGGGGGGGCCCCTACATTTTTCGAAGTTGTAAAAAAATTGGAGAAAAAAAAAAAATTACATTCCAATTTCAAGTCTGAGCGTGCCATTTCCCCTTCCATCTAGAGGTGACATAATCGTAATTTAGACAGGATTACATACCAGGAAAATTCATTATAGCAGTACTCTTCAAAGATTCTACAATTTTCTTTTTCGGTACAGCTACTGTGCCATTCATTTATGTTTTATTTATTGTTTCCATGTATCCATTACTACTGCTAATAATAATAATAATGGTCTTTACTATAAAAGTGCGTATAGTTGGAACCTCTGACATTGACAAACTAAAAAAAAAATTACTGCCGTACTGTAGAAGCACCAGTAGACTTCAGTGGGAAATTTACCCTGTTTTGCAGGCATAGACCCCTGTCATACTAAAAATGGTGTAAAAGCGCATCTTTTACCATGTTAAACCACAAAATCTCCATAGGGTTTACTCAAGGGAGGCACTATGCAGTCTCTGGCTGGCCTTAGGCACCATCATGCTCAGCAAATTTTGGAGCCACCATTGCTGCAGCAGTCTCAAAAGAGCAACAAAAAAAGTTTTGGCAGGTGGGACACCTCCCTTATCACGAACAAGATGTTACGGTGCTGCATTCTATATTAGGGAGCTTTCGATTGCACGATGACAGTATAACGTACAATGTAATGACATCACTAAAAGTCACCTGCGCATGCGAGAACATTTAGTTCTCTTCGTCACATAGATTCTAGGACGCAATTTGGCCAAATCTACGTATGCAGAGAACATAGGACGCTAGGTAGGATGGTCACACATGAACAATTTTGCTCTAGCATAGCGTCGTCGCGCAAAAGCGAAAGTTCCTTATTGCTTCCCCAGTACTTTCGAACAACTTACCATTGAACATATATCATGCTTCATCAATCAGTCAATTTAAATCTAAACTGAAAGCTCATCAGTTTCATTTACATTACTCTCAGAATTACACAGTTTATTAACCACCTTTACTTTCATCATCTCTTTAGTGAATTGAGATATTTCTGATATTTATGTGCTATATAAAAACGGAATTATTACTATAATTATTCTTATAGCTCATATAAACAAACGAAGATGTTGATACTATAAGTGGGCAAATTTAATTTTGAAAATTGAGAATACAGGTAAATACAAAGAAAATAAGGCACATTAGGAATCAAACAACACAAAATAATATTTTGGATTGTTGATTTCTATGCCACAACCTTAGCTCCATTCAGGCCACACGTTTTTTGTGTATAAGATCTGAGACAAATATATTAATCCTTGTTCTATGGACATTGCTTTGTGACACAATGTAAATATGTAGGCAGCTAACAGTAGACTAGACAAGGTGCAAATACCCCTTTGATTCTATTTATCTTTTAGTATTCTATTATAATGGACATTTGCAAATTGTACAAATACAGCCCTTGAGAGGCACAAAAGAATGACCAAAAGTATGTGAGTAGCTAGGAAGAACTTGAAGGAAGATCCCACAATTAATAAAAATGAAGACACATCAAATACCACAAAGTCAAGTCAAGGAAATTTACCATCTCTTGCTAGAAAACCCTTTGTTTTTACAGCCTGATGGTGATAATCAAAACTATTATTTAAAACTGGGCATAATTTTGTATAAAAGCAGTACATAATTGTTTTTGCAAGCACACTGGAAACCTAAATTTTAGAATTTAATTTTTTTTTTTTTAATTAGCTATGGTAATAACATTAAGAACTTTTTAATACTAACACATTTATATATTACTACTGTATATATACATTTTTGTATTGAGAAACAACTTCACATTGTGCTATTATCCAGTATAACATCCATAGATAATGATAATCCCATCTTCCCTCCTTCCTCCAGCTCTCAAAGTGCCCTTTGGACTGATGTTTTTCCTCTTACAAGCTGTAACGACAGATTATGTATGTACAAGAATCGCTTACCTGAAGGTATAGCATTGAATGTGTAATCTATCATATTCAACAATTGCTGTAAATTCAATCAGTTAAAAATTTTACAAAGCAATAACTTTCTAAAGCCTTGTCCAAATTATCAAATTTTATGTGACACATAAATGTATACCCATATTTAGGTATATTAATGATATAATGCCCATATTTGGGCATATCATACACATTTTTCACATAAAATTTGATTGTGGGCTTAAAGCCCTTTCGAGACTATCAAATTGTATCTAACAAAAACATGTGACATACCTAAATATGGTCATGATGACATCACATTGTCCATGTATAGGCACATCATGACTATATATGGGCATACATCAGTTTTTTGTTAAAGAAAATTTTTATAATCTGGACAGAGCTTTAAGCCCATTATTGGCAAAATTTCACTAAAAAAAGAATTTTTTTGAAAAAATGCATATGCATTACTTTAATTATTATAAACCATGGAAAAATATTGGCATTAATTTTAGTATTTACGCAAAAGGATAAAAAAAAAAATGAAAATTAGGGACTATTTCTCATAGGAGATTACCATTTTCTCAAACGACTTTTTCGTTACTAGGCAAATTCAGAGGTTGTAGATCGCATCCGCTGTGATTGCTCATGCTTTTGTGTATACTTTATACAGTCAATAAAGTGCGCCCTCTCTAATGAGATTAGTTTTGTACTTTGCATCTTGCATACTGGGGTCGATTGAGTAGGCCTGAGATATGTTTGTTTAATTTTCAAAACCTCGGTCAAAATCATTTTTTTAACAAATGTGAAATAAATTCAATAAATATTTTCACAAGCATCAACAGAAAGTATTACGTCGGCCGTTTTTATGTCCAATAACAGAACCTAACAGAGGTAAGGCTAAGCCTAGCCTAGCATTGTTGATGGGCTAATGTTTCCGGTGCCTACTATATTTCTTTGGAGACCTATCTCATAATCAAACATAAAAAATTCATCCACGTTTATTTTTTGTGTTCCACACAAAAAAAATAAAAAAATAAAATTTCAGTCTTATTTTATATTTTTTTCATGTTCAGGAAGGTCTAAATCCAGTTAAACTAGCAATTTCGTATTATATTTATAGGTCTTTATAACATATATAAAAATCTGATTTTTTTTTTAACAACTAAAATTTTGCCAGAAATGGGCTTTAAAGTTATTGCCAGGCCAGAATTCTATAAACTGTAATTAATTGTGTGTACTCTGAAGGCACCAAGGAGGTAAACGTGTTTATAAATAGCGTTAGGCTATTTGTATTCATTTAATATTGTCAGCTATTAATAGAAATTTCTCGAAATTATGTATTCAAAAAAAATTCTGTATTGATTTTCCTCTTAACTATGGGTTTGTACAATAATTGTTGTCATAGTATCCAGCATCTTATTCTACATAATCCGATTCATTTCCTTCCTTATAACTTTATTTTGCCTTGTTGTTATTGTAAAACCTAATAATCATGCTATTCGTAGGATTGTTACTATTAATATTCACGTTAAATGATCATCATTACTTTTCTTTCTTTTATTTATTTCAAAAACCACATCCAACAGCAATCAAATGTCAATAACAGGATGCCTTAAAACGTGTTTACCTACGCATAAATATATAAAAGATATGAATAGAAAAACGCACAAAAAAAAAAAAGAAACAGGAACTTACTACTAATTTTTGTATTTTTTAAAAATTGATTTTACCAGTTCTATTGTTATTTGAATTGATTGTTCCTATCACTGATTTCTGAACATTTACATGTGCAGGCATATTTCGGTTTTCTTTTATACCAAAATGTATTGTGACATTTTTTTATGTTTGTCATTAATATTATATATTAATATAAGATATTATCATAGAAAGTAGTAAAAATAACACCAAAACCTATTAAAGTGTCAGATGCGGTATCAGAATGTATTTCCTCTGTCCCATATAACATTGTGCTTGCCTCTGATCCTGTCCCCCTTGTTTGTCACTAAGCATGATATTAATCATTTTGATTTTTCATTATATCATTGTTGAATTCAATATTTATGTTTGTTACACACTTCCATTATTTTGAGGTATAACTTGAGTTCATGCTGGCCTTATTTTCCAACACAAGTTGCTAGTGAAGGGTGCAGTGATGTATAATGTGCTTTTTGTGTTCAGTAGTTGTTTTCGGAGAAATGTTCAGAAAATTAATTTTTATGTTAGGCCTATATTTTATTATAAGTTTTTGTTTTGCCAAACTTTCCTTAAGTTATTTTTCAACATTTTATTTCTTAATTGGTGGAAAATCATTAAATGCTTTCCTCCCACTAAATATCTTTCTAATAAAGGTTCTGGCCATGAGAAACTTGATACACAATTATCATTAAAATTAACAAAATTAATTATTAACATATTAATTAACAGAATTTAAAAAAACCTAATGTCATAAACTTGCAGTAGTCGTATGTTCAAACTATACTTACTTAAAATTTCAGAGTCCTACATACACATCTTTTTGTATATTCACAGATAAGACCGTTATTTGAATGTACCAGTAAACTGATTGGCGTACCTGATAGCAACATACAGCATCAGTAAGATGGATTTAGTTGGAACACTTTTAAAAAATCCTCTGCCACAATTCCGGACTGTTGCCTGTAATGCCGAGGAAAGCATGTGCTATATTTAGCAACATGCATATGGACTGCTACACAGCAGCCTTTTTTGGATTAATCCATTTTCCATAGGGGGGTGCACAGGCATTACTATCAGTTTCAACTAATTACTATCAGGGAGTGCTCATATTACTCGTTAATTATTACTCTAGATTGTACGTGCCTGTAAGCTTTCGTGTATCAACATTATGTATCCCAGATATGTTTACATAATTTAAATATTTTAATTTGTAAACCTTAGTGTTATGGTATTTATTAATATTGATAAATTATATATTCAGGTAATATATTTATATATCACTTGCAGAGGAATGAAGAAGAGTAATGTGTGCTCAAAGGAATTGTCAATTAAACTAGTCTTGTAGTAAATCATCTGTGCTTTAGTGATTCAATCAGATTGTTGTTGTTCTTCTCATTCCAGTTTATTGATGCTGTAATTCATAAGCAACATGTTTCAGCCTGACATATTCTGAGGCATTAGCCATTATTATGTGAATATTCACACAATCATATGTCATCAAATTGTCCTTTTTTCATACAACTATAATAAGGAACTTTCGTTGATGAAATATGTTTGAAACGATTTATAACATCATTTGAGTGCTGTATTATTATCTGTTTAATATAAATGTATATAATTATGTATATTATTTAAAAAAATATCTTTTCAGAGATCTCTGTTTGTCATTTAAAATGCTTAAGAAGAGGGCGCATCACATTGATCTCCGTTTAACATGTATACATTAAATACAAGTGTTTTTCATTGGCATGCTGTAGAGGGTGAAATTAATTGCCTTCAATCGGATTCAAACTTCCAACGAAAGCCTCAATGGCCCAGTTGGTTAAGGCATCTGCGTAGACAGCAGAAGGTCCCGAGTGTGAATCACAGTTGGGGAACTTTTATTCGCACTTGTAGATTCCTCTTCTTTACCATTACCAAAGTTATAAAGATGTATAAAGAATAAAAAGATTTAGAGTTTATCTCTTCATGTGTTACAT